TGTCGACTAGTGGACAATGCTGAAGCTATTCGTCCTGCATCTGAGTATTAGTGGGAGCAATATCACTCATTAGGAGGCAGATACATCCAGCTGATGATTCCCAAGGGTGAAGAAACATGCTTTCTCGATTCCAGTTCTATCCACTGTCCATCATTCATATCAAATTTGAAAACAGGCTTAGTGTGAGGACCATCTATAGTTCCTTCTGTCCAGTTTAACTTTTTAACCTCCTCAGTTTAAAAGAACAACATGAAGGTAGTGCTTAAAAGCGATAAACCAGGAAGAAGTTCATGACTTATGAATAGACAGTGATGTTTTAATCGTCTTCTTACTCTTCTTTATATTCTTAACATAACCGTGGTTATGCGCACCAAAGAACAGTTATGTTCTCTTACTTACAAGCGGTATCTTGTCCTATTAATTGATAGGCTCTCTTTCGCTTTCTGTCACACTGAATGTCATATTGATTGCTCCCTATTAAAGTGTATTTACTGTCTATGATCGGGTATTTTACTTTTCGATTCATGGACTGTTAGGTGTAACCTTCTATGTTTGAACCTTCAACAGTTAATCTATTGTATACACGTCTTCAGGTCGAATCGTTGCCTTCAAATGATGTCATCTTATTGGTTGAAGATGCTGACGAAATACAAAAGCGTAAAAATGTTCTGAATACATTTTAAACTTCCAATATGTTAACTAATGATTCGATTAGTATCGGAATGTATTCTCATTTCGGAAAGTGATGAGTAAAATATCTTAGAAGTCTCACCAGCACTAGATTGTGGTTTAGAGTGTCATCATGGTTGTATTGTGTTCTCTCAGCTGGGTTGCTTAATCGTGCAGCTTTCATCGTCCTTCTAGACAACATCATCAGCACTAACTTCAGTATGAAGTGAGTTGTGAATATCTCTCCGTGAGTGATTTAGTATCTTGCCTTGACGAAGCGGTCTATGATTGGTTGTTTCCTTTGATTGTTGTGTCATTGACAGTTTAGATTTTCCTGTAGCCGTCCATCCTAAAGAAGAACGGCTACCCACAAAACTTTATCAGAAGATGCCTATCCCGTACATCGTCAACTTCAAAGTCATCGACAGAAATCAATAAACGCATCATCCTACCATGCATAGAGAATATATCAGAAATCACAACAAGATTGCCGAAACCACTTGGAATAGGCGTGGCTCATAAACCAATAAATTCCCTCCAAACATTATTATGCAGACCAAAGGATGCAACAACCAACGAAGACAAATCGAATATCATTTACAAAATCAACTGCAATAACTGTACTTAACACTACATTGCAGAAAGTGGCCACCCTCTTCGGCTTCGTCTACATCAGCACCAATTGGCTATTAAACGTCGCGACATTTCGTTGCTCATTTCAATGCATGTGGATAATTATGGACTAGAATTCAATTTCGACATTGTAGAAATCTTGAACGGAGAGAGGAAACACAAAGAATATCAGAGAATTCCTAGAAGCTTGGCATTCAGGTCAGTCAGCAATCAATACGTTTATAGACATAAACCCAATCTATCAACCAATAAGAAAGACGATGAACGACAGAAAGGTGAGAAGTCAAGCAGAGGGACAGACAACAGGAAAATCTATACTGTCAATGACACAACAATCAAAGGAAACAACCAATCATAGACCGCTTCGTCAAGGCAAGATACTAAATCACTCACGGAGAGATATTCACAACTCACTTCATACTGAAGTTAGTGCTGATGATGTTGTCTAGAAGGACGATGAAAGCTTCACGATTAAACAATCCAGCTCAGAGAACACAACACCATCAGAATTATCCTCCTAAGCTACAAATATTCTTCATCATCTGATACTTTCTTTAGTAATTGTTATAGTGATAAAATAAAATAAAGCTGGGAGTAGGTTGTTAAAGTTACTGATTTTAATTAGACACAGGGAATCGGTAGTTAGAGGATTTCAGTGATATAACTAACAATTAATCGTATTACTTTAAGTACATTTCTCATCTTACTATAATAAACGACTATCTTATAACTGTATTCTCTTCATCTAAGGTCGTTGTTTTCTTCATGACACTTGCATTTATTCATTGTCTAGTCTTCTTTCATTCAACAGTTCTTTTATTGTAACTTTCTACTCACTGTGTTTTTTCTAGATTCTATGGATTGTATCATCTTAGTGTATGTCATCATTTTCTAAAGTCATTGATTTTCCTCTTATTAGGATAATGATTTTTAATTCTTTGCTGATTTTAGTATCACTTAAAGAAGTACTGAAAATCAGGAAATATTAGACACTTCCTGGACAGTTAATGTGTACATCAGGGCTTAAGTATTATATTCGATTTGGATAAAATGAGTATCAGCTTGACATTCATCATGGACTAACATCAGTTGGAGGGACATTGGAAACCTGTGAGCCCTGGACAGCTGTTTCGTCCTAGTATGGGACTCCTCAGCAGTCCGCCCCCAAGGATCGGAACCCAAAAGCTTTGGATTCCACGACCAGCACATTACCATTGAACCACTCAGTTGGAATCCAATGGTCCATATTTCCTACTCTTGTCAGTTGCCGATATAGCGCGACCTCCATCCTATACCGTGCTGCTGAGGAGTCCCATACTAGGACGAAACAGCTGTCTAGTGCTCCCAGGTTTCCATTTCCCCTCCGACTGATGCCAGCCCATGGTGAATTCCATTCTAAAATCAATTAATAAAGACTCTAAAAACCTCCAGATTGAATTAAATTGAATTCATTAAATTAAATTGTAATCTTGACATGAGTTGTGGTGTCGATCAGGCCACATGTGGTCTGAATATTTTGGCATCCATACTAAAATATGGTGAGATTTCTCACCGTAGACTGTGTATATTTTGCAAACATCTGATTTGATTCACCGTCTATGATCGTTTATCTATTGGGATAACTTCGTTGTAATAATAAGTAGGCTGCTGCAGTAACATGGTTGTGGAAATTTCTGTCGACCTAATTATAATTTAATTCAACATATCATGAATATCATGAATGTTTCGTGGTATCACCACGTCAGTAAAGCAGAAGTCAGACGTAGAGTTTTATGCAGGAGAGGCAAAACAGTTGATGCAGTTGTTAACCTTCAGCGACTGAGATGACTGGGATATGTGGTGCATATGCCTAACCATCGTCTGCCTTGTCGCACAATATTGGCCAAAGTAGGTCCAGGCTTGAAAAAGGCTCACTGTGGTGGTGGGTGTATCGCCCACTGCTATAGGCTCTGGAACACAGGCACGCTTACCGATGCCCGACAATAGCTGTATTTCTCAACTTGGAGGCGGTATTCAACTCCATCCATCCAGAAGTATTGTGGCAATGTCTTTCATTGAAAGGAGTACCGAGTAAGCACACCACCCTATTAAAGAGTCTTAACCCGAACACTTGTGGGCGCGTTAGAGACTAGTGTCTATCAAGAATTTTAACTCTCTCCATTATTATCCAATTTTATCATGGACGTTCTTATGGAGGTCTCCCTCTGGTCATCTGACCACACAGGAGAATTTTTGGTAGACCTAGAATATGCAGATGACATAGTCCCGTTTGGTGAAGATGCTGACAAGATGCGGAGTCTTCTGGACACATTAAGTTGCAACTACAGGGTGTTTCGGATGTGTTTCTCATCTCCTAAACGTAGATTGTTGCTCCACGACTGGTCTTCAGAGGTACCCCTACTAACAATAGACAGTAAAGTGGTTGAGGATGTTAAGCACTTCACTTACCTGGGAAGTCGGATAAGCCGTGGTGCGTTGGTCAGTGACCGACGAAATCTCTGTGCGCATACAAAAAGCTCGGTTGGCTTTTGCAAAATTACGCGATCTATGGTGCCGCCACGATATTCGATTTTCCATGAAGGCTCGAGTGTATTGTGATGCAGTCCGCTCTCTGTTCTACTATATGGCTGTGAAACATGGCCATTAAAGGTAGAAGACAAGACATGAGAAGGCTTCTGGTGTTTGACTAGCGTTGCCTTCGTAGCATAGGCTGTGTTTCGTGGTGTCACCCCGTGGGTAACGTAGAAGTCGGGCATAGAGTTTCAAGCAGGAGACGCAAGACAGTTGGTGCGATTGTGAACCTTCATCGGCTGAGATGGCTGGCTGGGACATGTGCTACTTATGCCTAGCCACTGTCTGTCTTGTCACATAATGTTGGCCGAAGTAGGTTCAGGCTTGAACAAGGCTCATGGTGGCCAGACTAAAACATGGCATCAATGCATGAAGTCCTTGACTGTTGGTTTGAGCCATGTGGGGCGATGCAGACTAGCCAGCTAAGGTCCACGAGACAAGAGAAACCAGTTGTTGGAGACTCTAGGCAATATGGCTTAGAATCGATGTCAGGGGCCGTAGAATTATAGACACATTGTCCTCATCTTAATCGGTATACTTAATCTCATCGTCATCTCATTCTTCCCTCCCTTGTCTTTCTACTTTCTACTTCTACTCTCTGTCTCTCTCTGACCGATTTTTCTTTCTTTCTTCATCTTCCATTTTATTGCCTTGTAACTTGATGTGCTGCTATGTGGTGCGGCAACTTGGACTGTGACTCAGTAATAACTGGTTCTATGCTGATTTTGATGATGATGATGATGATTATGATGAATGAAATTTGTTTCCTTAGTTCTTATCTAACTGAATTAGTTGTTCTTTGATGATATCGCTTGTTTACATCTCCTTCGTCGATTGAATCGAATTTTATCGGCCACTATTTGCGTATATTGGCTCGTGTATGGATACTTCAGTATTTATATGACTGAGATCAAGTTATAGTCGAAACAACATCACCCACTAGGAGGTAGATATATCCAGCCGATGAGTCTTAAATGGGACGAAACACATGTCTTGGATTCCACTACTAACCGCTATCCATCAGTGAAATGAATTTATTGGTTCGTAACAACTAATTAATTAATTAAATTAATAACGTTTATTTACAACTCATCTACCCTTTGATTGTCATTTTTTTTCCTATTCAGCTGATAATGTTCATCATCAGGTTCGACAAGTGCGTAAACGAGATTTTCGAATGTTTGGTCTTCATGACTATCAGGGTAAATCAAGATTGTCTCCTCAGTTGAAGATTGCAGCTTTAAGACACCTAACTTCAAGTAAGTTTTTTTATTCTATTTTATTCATGAATCTTTGTTGTTGCTGTTGTCCTTATGACTATTTTATAGTCATATCTATGTAAAACATTTGGTTTTGCATATATCCCTCATATATTAGTTATATTTCTTTGATATGGGGCTGTGAATGTGCTCTGCTGAGGAGTCTGATACTAGGACAAAACAGCTATCCGGCGTTTTCAGGTTTTCAATGGTTTTTTCAGATGATTTCAGTCTGTGGTGAATACCATATTGCAGTTTCAAGTGAGTAGATACAAAATGAATGTTCTCATCAAGTTAATTTTAAGCTGGTTAACATCGAACTAGTGACATCGATTGTCTTCTGAAGGGTAATGAATGTGATCTCTTGTCCCATGTGTTCACGAAATTCTATCCATCGGATAACATAACAGTGGTTATTTTCTAGGGATCATTCTATGTACCTTATCCAATTTTACTCAAGAACCGTCATGACTTGAATAACTTATTGATAATGTCTACCATCTTAGTATCGAATGATGTGTGTCTTGAAGGGTCATCATTTCTCCTGAATTTGAAGATACTCTTTTCTTCATGTGTATCAATAATCGTAAGATATAATTGAAACAGGGTTTCTTACTGATTACCTTTAATCACTTAATAACGCCAATTGGAAATTCATTACGAATCAAATAGTACTAGACAGTTGTTTCTTCATAGTTGTGTTCTCCTCAGCAGTGTGCATCCAGCATTCGAATCATCATTATGCCTCGAACTCCTAGGTATCACAGGGACTTATCGCCATCAAATTGATCGACTGAAATCCAGCTGTTCATACTATACTCGATTTTTAATAGGTCCCTTCCTTTATACAGTGGATTCACGCATCACTAATGAACGACAATTGAATTACTAACCACTTGCTTTATTGTATATTAGTCCTTCACAAGAACTAACATAGAATCAGCCTATTGCCTGGTAACAAATTACTCAAGTGAATACTATAATTTACTTTTTCTTAAAAAACAACTGGTACTGTAGTGGGCGCTGCTGATCAGAATGGATATAAGTGGTATATGCTCAGAGGGTAGCAGAAATCATAGTATTGGGTTGAGTTCATGAGTCGTAGCTGCTGGGCGATGGGATTCGGGTTACTTTCGGTGAACTGTGCAACCAGCAACGGTACCTGTGAGTGCTCATCCAAAGTGGAAAGTGCTCGTCGAAGTGGTTTAGTTAACTTTACAGCCGATACCACCGGGTCCTCGTCTATCGCAAGTTTCGTGCTCCGTAACTGCTGCATCATCAGCTTCCTGTCTGCTGGGCTGTCAAACTTCGCCTCCACTCATTCAACCATTCTCTTATGAATCTCCTTTCCTTCCACACGTTCCACGCCATCATATTCTGCTTTCGCTCTGCCCCTCAGCAACGTGCCAAGCACCACAACCTTCGCTCCTGGATCCCGGACATCTAACAGTTCTGCAACCGACTCAAAGTCCCTGAGGAAAACCTTGATGTTTCCATCCTCGAACACTGGAGGCCACGGAACGTTGCACATCTTGTATAGTGGTCATCGAATGTTGTACACTTTACATTAAAACAGTCATTTGCATAATGTGCTTCATTTACTCTTCTGCTTCTGCCTTGATTTTCTTTTAATACGCCCACATTGTCTCTTGCATTTCTTTGGGCAGAATATTTACACATTACGGGTAATTGTCTATGATTTCTGCCACCCTCTCAACATATACTACTGACATCCATTGTGATCAGCAGCTCCCACTACAATACTACTGAATATTCTTATTTTCACCTGTGCATATAAATTTGTTTACAGAAATACTTAACTCTTAATAGCAATGTTAGCGGATATATTTCTCTTTTGTAACAGTATACACCTGTAGAAATTAAAAATAATAAAAAGGAGGATATTTTGTAAACATACAAATAAAACGACAGGCGGTTAAATTAACTTAAAACTCTTGACAATAATGCAGAGGTTTTCTGTTTATGAATGAAGTAGTACAGGCAAAAAAAAATAAAGCCATTGTGAGTAATGTTTATAAGCTATATTATTAGGTGTATATAATTAAAGATTTTGCTTAGATTGAAGTCTAACATAGATAGTTTACCTTATACTTGATATATGTAAATAACACACTAAGTGAGGAGTGACATTGTCTGATATATTTGTTCTGCTTATTGTCAGAGAGACGAAATCAACATAGAACCTGGCATACAAATCCATTGGTTCAAGTTACTTCACGTCACAGAAGTATATAAAAGACAGGTGGATAGAAAAAGAGTGATATCAAAGTAGACAAAGTAGTTTGAGAGGATAAACAATCTGAAGATAATGGTTAGTGCAAATATTCACGCTTTACAAGATGTCAAAGGGTGAATACGCATTTGTGCTATTGTGACCGATTTCCATCATATCACGAAGAGTCTTCAACCACTTATTCCTATAGCGTCCGGGACATCATCCAAGTAGTCTACATCTCCCCATACGCCTCATACTAACAGTCAGGTACTTCATCGACTGGTGCCAGGTGTTGGTCTGGTCAGCATGAACCCTAACTGGCACGACAAGGTAGTTAGTGGCTGAGCATTTGCAACATATATCCAAGCCATGTCAGTTGACTAATGTTGACAACCTCATTATTGCGCATACAGTGATTCGACCAAACGCAAGCAATACTCTGAAGTTGCCTATGTTTAAAGCCGTGTAACTGCTTCATGCCTTCTATTCTCAACGGCTTTCTGTTTAAAGAACTAACACAAGTAAGAAAGCATGAAATTTTACAACTGTCAGAGGAAATATTAACCTTTTCTTTAGCATACAAAGAATATCGCTAGCACTAAGGTCGGTAGCATATAGGGTGAATACTTCACCGTAGAAGAGTTTGAAGTTATCTGTAGCACTATCAAACTGCATTCATTTAATGCAACCAAATCTTGTCTAAGGCTTAAGGTGATTACTTACAAAAAGCTGAGATTTGCATGCTCGGTATGTTATATCAACAGATAGACTGATGTAGAAGTAGTATTCATCATGGACTGACATCAGTTGGGGAACCATTGAAAATCTGGGAGCACTGGACAGCTGTTTCGTCCAACTAGTACGGGACTCCTCAGCAGTACGCACCCACGACCTGGCTAGGGGTCGGACTCAGGACCTTCAGATTTCACGGCGAACGCGTTAACCATTCAGCTACTGGGTTGTGAACCACTGGAAACCGACCCAGTGGCTGAACAGTTAACGCGTTCGCCGTGAAGTCTGAAAGTCCTAAGTTTGATCCCTAGCCGGGTCGTGGGTGCGTACTGCTGAGGAGTCCCGTACTAGTTGGACGAAACAGCTGTCCAGTGCCCCCAGATTCTCAATGGTTCCCCAACTAATGTCAGTCCATGATGAATACTACTTCTAAATTAAAACCCTCACTCATCTCAAAGATAGACTGATAGTTTGAAGAACATATTGCATAAATAAACTTATATTTATGCGCGTTTTTTTTTTTTTATCATATTGACTTAAACAATTTGACTTTAAACCAGCAGGTGTCCGCTACACACACAATCCCACCTACTTCATTCAGGGGGCACTGTTTACAGTAAATGTGACTCTGTGGCCTGATACAAGAGAAACTCCTAAACCGGGTCGAATTGAAAGATTATCTTCCTTTATAAAAAAACATTAAGGCAAATTAAAGGTTTTTGTGGACTTATTTATTGATTTCCAGGTGGTATTCATCATGGGATGATATCAAATAAAGAACCATTGAAAACTTAGGAACACTGGACGGCAGCTGTTTCGTCCTGGTATAGAACCCTACAGCAGTGTGCATGCACTGTTTACCCCACTAGAGATCAATCAATCGAATCCCCGTAAAACCTCTAAAATTGAATTACACTAGTACTCACTAATGAATTGCTTTGAGATGAGATTTCCTAAAGTTCTAATGAGAAGTTATGATCAATGGGGAAAACCAAGTGGAAAATTAGGCTAGATACTCAACACTGACACTGGATAGAGATTGTGGTATATCTTCAACTGACAGAAGTAAGAACATTTAGATCATTTTATTCCGACCCGGTGACGTGCTAGCGGCGATACCTGAAGGTTGTGGTTTCGATTCCTAACCACGAGGGGTTAGGAGTGTGCACTGCTGAAAAGTCACATACTAGGACGAAAGATCTGTGCTCTGCTCTCATGTTTTCAATGGTTTTCTAACTGACTTCATTTCGTAATGAATACCATGTTAATTGTTCAGTTATTGGCTGTTACTTTAGTGTAAATAATGTGGAACTGAAATTCTTATCATTAGATATACTGTCTTATATCTAATATATTCGTAGATGTTTTAGTTCCTTGTAGGGTAGTTTTACTGATCATTTGTCCAATCAGGCGATAGCAGCTGAATTCATGTGTGTTGGGATGGGATATGATGGGGGTGATGCAGCAAATTTCATGAGTGGTCATCACTACATCATTTTACAATGGTATACCGATCAATAAGCTAGCTTCAGTATTCATTTATTTTTCCCTTATGTGATCTACTATACAAGACTATAAATATTATACATAGAATAAGTTAAACTATTAGTGGTAAGCAGTGGAAATACAGCATCGGAAATATTCATTAAAATAGTTAAATTTATGTTTTCTAGCATGGTATAGAGTCAACTATAAACTCAGTTCATAGTAAAGTTTTGATATCATCTGGAGCTTCAAAAGTATTCTTTATGAATACCTATAGGTATGAGTTCTTTTAGACTTAACATTTCGACTAGTGGTTAATTCATTCATTTGTTTATTATCTTTCTATTGACTAAGGTTTAACTTGTTTTCCTCTCTCTTCCCCCTTTCATTCTTAGCCATTCCCTGTCTATCCAATAATACTGAATTACTGTCGATTAGTTTTCTGGTTATCTTCTGTATATCTATGTTGAGTGTAATTCTTTCCTTATCTTAATCTTGTACTTGAATCGACCTAGTTGGATCTTTCTCTGTTTCATCTTGATTCCAC